CTCAACTCGTTTCTCCGCGCAGCGGCCTTGTTCGTCAAGGTTCGTGTTTCGGAGTTATAGAGTTGAGAGAGGGTTATAGCCACAAATAAGTAGCCTCCTCGTCTGTAGTGGCCTTCTCGGCCTTGAGGAGGTGAATTAAAAAAAAAATAATAAATAAAATGTCATTGATATATCGATGGTATGTATTATAAAGCAATATGTGCAATAAACACTCCTAAATATTGGCGTAGTGAGGGGAGACCAAAGCGGAAATGGCCCCTGTCGCGAAGGCTGGTGGTAGAGCTAGAAAAAATATGTAAAAATTTTTAAAAAATCGTTTTTTTTTTTATTTTTTATTTTCGAAGGAAAATTACTTAGCTTTCATGTATTAAAAAAAAATTTAAAAAAAAATTATTTCTTATTTAGTTTTTAAAGCTTTTATGTAACTACATACAACGACTAGTCCTTAGTTACGCCCTTAGCAACGGTAAACAGTTTTTTTACCTTGATACCTTTCCATAAAGAACAACAAGATTTATATTATACACTGATAAACGTGCAATTGTTAAAGGTAATTGTTAGCTTAAGGAACATTGTAAATTTTGGCAAATTTTTGAAGCAACTTTAGTGCATGATGTTTAATTTTGATGTTATAAATCTTTTCAGATTTCACCTCAAGTATTATAAATAACGAGTACTTCAAAAAATAACATTAAAGTATCTAATAAGCAAAACTTTGGACGAAAAAAAAAAAGATTTTTTCATGGAAATCGTTATACAATTGCAGCAGAAAGACAACAGAAAAGCAATCTGAATATTGTTCCAGCTTCAAGTTGTGCAAGTGCAAGAAAATTACTGCCTCTGATAAATAAAAATCAAGTTGTAAATGACAAAGTGAATAAAGATTATTTCATACTTATCAATTTTTCAATTTTAAGTGATATCGTGGAAGATGTTAGATGTCCAGATTGTTACAACCTTTGTTACCATTGTTGATAATCTTTCTAAGCGCATGGGTTTTGCCCATCACCTTAAAATCAAGTGTAGTTTATGTGAATGGAAAAAGGTTTTGTATTCTTCTAAACAGATTAGTAAATTTAATGGAAATACAGCCCAGGGTAGGAAAACATTTGAAGCAAACACAAGAATGATAATTGGATTTAGAGAAATAGGTAAAGGGTATCAATCTATGAAAAACTTTAGTCGCTGTATGAATTTACACTGTTTGACAGCTACTCCATTTAGAAAACTAAATATAGAAATATCAAAAGCTTATGATAAAACTGCTAAAGAAAGTATGAAACGTGTCACAAATGAAATGAAAGATAACTATACTGATTATAATAAACCAATAATGAAGCATGTTAAGATTGATGGTGCATGGCAACGACGCGGTCATACCTCCCTTAATGGATTTGTAAGTGCAATTGTGGGTGATAAGTGCGTTGATTATGAAGCAATGTCAAAATTTTGCATGGGCTGTAGAATATGGAAAAATAAAAAAGCTTCACCACGATACAATGCTTGGAAAGCTCAACATGCCTGTCATATAAATCATAAACAATCTTCTGGGTCAATGGAAGCAGCTGGTGCTGTAAAAATATTTGCACGTTCAATTAAAAATAACAATATTATTTATACTCATTATCTTGGAGATGGAGATAGCTCATCTTTTAAAGAAGTAATAAAGTCTGATCCCTATAAAGACTATAAAATAATTCCTGAAAAGTTAGAGTGTGTTGCACATGTACAAAAAAGAATGGGTACACGGTTACAAAATTTAATCAAAAATTACAAAGGAAAGCCAACTCCACTAGGTGGAAAAAATAAACTCACAGAAAATGTGATTAATAGTATGCAAAATTTTTATGGTTTAGCTATAAGAAGTTATACAAATAACATTTATGCCATGAAAAAGGCAATATGGGCTATTTTGTTCCACTATACTGGATATTCAAATCAAGAGTTTCGCCACTGCTTTTATACTGGATTTTATACTGGATTTCGCCACTGCTTTTATACTTATACTGGATATTCAAATCAAGAGTTTCGCCACTGCCCAAGAACTGAAACTAGTTGGTGTCAATATCAATATGACAAATTACATAATACTTCAAATTATAAAGAACATATTAATTTACCATTATGGATAAGTAACCTTTTGAAACCAGTGTTTAAAGATCTATCAAATGAAGAATTATTGTTAAAATGTGTACAAGGGCAAACCCAAAATGCAAATGAAAGTCTTAATGCATTGGTTTGGTCTCATTGCCCTAAAAACATATTTGTTTGTAAACAAACTTTTGAAATGAGTATTAATTCAGCAATTTTACACTTCAATGATGGTACTGAAGGTGTTAAAAATGTTTTACTTTCATTTGGACTATCAGGCGTTGTTACAAATTCTAAATCTTATGAACAAAATGTTTCATGTGTAAAGAGCATGGAGATCAAGTCAAGTGAAAAAGTAAAAAATAGAAGAAAAAGTCTCAGAGCAATAAAAAAAAAGATACTCTGATAAACAAAGTCAAAATAAAACATCATTTTATGTATCAGGAGGGTTTTAAACATATTGTATATATATTTTTAAACATATTACAACTTTATTTTGCGTTTTATTGAACTTTGATTTTTTGCAAGATTTTGTAACTTCAAAACCAAATATCTTAAGTTAGAAAAACTCAATTTACTTGAAATTTTCACAGTATCTTCAGTATACATATAAAGTTCATTTGAACTAAAATCTTATAATAATTAAATGTATTTATTGCTTATTATTTGTTTTTTATTCTCAATTTAGTATTTTTTTTTTAACGCATACATAATAAATTATGTATATTTTTTATTCTATTAAGATTCAATGTCATTTTAGTTCAAATGAATTATCTATTGTTAAAGAACAAACCTACAAAAATTCATTGTGATTTGTTGATTATATTTTGTGATATTGTGTTTTAAAATTTCCTTATTTTTTGGTTTATTTTTTTATATAAGTATGGGTAGGCGAGGCAAATTAATAAAAAAAAATTGTCAAATGATTTTTAACATAAATTCAAACTTTTTTAGAAGTTCTTGGGAAATAACAATAGTTTTTAAAAGAATTAGGTTTTTTCTAGTCCTACCACCTTAAGAGGCCCAAAAAATGGAGGAGCAAAAAAAATGAAACCAATTTTAACATAAAAAGTAATAACTTCTTAATTTTATTGTAAAAAAGCGCAATTATTTTATTTTTGCCCAACAATTTTGCAAAACAATTTTTATAATTGAATGTTTTATACCTTATAACAAAACTCCATGTACAACTGATTAAACTTTAACATTAAAAATAAACTAAACTGTAGAGTCAAATAGACAATTTTATGGCATTCTTTGTCTTTTATTTTAAAATACCGCAAGTGATTTAATATTCTACAAATGATCTAAAGTAATCGAATTATACAAACTATAAGTGCTTCCAAATAATGTGTTCAAAGTATATTTTTTACTACATAATTTTTTTCTTGAGATATTTTCCTTTTGATTTATTTCCGAATAACTTTATTTATTCGAAAATAAATCAAAATTTATAAAATATTTATTATGTTTTGCATTTAAATTTAACGTTTACGGTGATACTAATGTTAAAAACTGTAGTTAGAACAACCAATCCAAATGCAGTATATTTAAAAAGGCAAATATAATACTTTATAACTCACAAGTCCGGGCCTTTGAACAGAGCCGGGCTCCAGGACTATATACCCCCAGACCCCCCTCTCTACGGCCATGTGTACCATAAGACTCTTAATCAATGAAAGACTAAAATTCTAACTTAACTCTTAAAACAACAAATAAAAAGTTTATAGTTTTTTCTTGCAATGGATTTATAAATGGATCACACTATTTAGATCTGCGACGGTTTGTACTAGATAGAAAGAGGGTAACTACTATATCATAAATATGTATGGAAAGCTAGTTTCTGAAAAGAGGGTTAACTAAGCTCAATTTCAAAGCCATCTCAAAGTCTAAGCAACTTCATAACACTATTTTTATCTTGTTGGCTTTACGACTTCTACATAGATGCCTAACCAAGTTTAAAACATGCTTAAAAATAATGCAACAAGCTTAAAAAATTATGATGGTGACGTCACATTCCATCAAACAGTTCAACTCTAATTAGAATTTAGCTCTTGGTCTATGAGAATTTTATGTCTATTATTCGTACCTTTAATACAATTTCCTTGCTAAAGTACAGCCAGGGCCGGCGCGAGTAGGGGTCACGTGGGGGGTGCCATTACAACTTTTGCCGTCTAAAAAAAAAAAAAAAAAAGGTCCTCGTTTTTTAAAATTTACCGACTTTGGATGACGTCCTTTATGGATGGCCCCTTATTTCTTATTTAATAATAATTTTTTCTTTTTATTTTAACTATTTTATTGTGCAACTTTATTTAAAAATTATTTATAAAAAAAATTAAAAAACCCTATAAACTACTTCTTAATTCATCTTAATATGATGTTATGAAAAAAAAAAAAAAAAAAAAAAAACTATAACCCCTTCATTTTAAATTAAGAGATAATACTTCGTATAATGTCTTCAATTTTTTTTACTCCAGTCACTGACTGGAGTACAAACAAAATTTAACACATATCGTCTTAAATTTTTGTACTGAAATATAAAAGATTTAAAATACAATTTCTTAGGGGTCGTCCATAAATTACATCACAATTTAAGGAAGAGAGGGCGTTTAGTGGTTTTGTTACAACTCATACAAGACTTGTTACTAAAATTTTACGTTGTTGTGACGAGGAGGTAGGAGGGAGTCAAAAATGATCAAAAATTGCGTGACGCAATGTATGGAAGAGACCTTAAATTTATAAATAACGGTAAAAAAAATTTAATGAGTAATAAAAATTTAAGACGCAATATGATGATAATCCGTGAAATAATTTGCATCAGTGAAAATCCGGGATCAGTAATGTGACTATGTTTGTTACAAACTTAATGCAGTCTAAGATGACTTCCGGTCTCGTGTTCCCGGCATTTTCTGTTACCGTTCATTATACCTTTTGAAGTGTCGCGCTAGTATGGTATTTTAGGAATTGAGGTACAAATATGACTGATCGTGATGAAAACGCTCCTCCAAGAACAACGTTATTTGTAAGAAATTTACCATTTGATATAAATGCTCAAAAACTAGAAGAGGAGTTTTCGAAGTTTGGACCTATTAAGAAAGCTTTTGTTGTTAAGGATAAAGGTAGAAATCATTTAAAATTATATTAGTAAATATATTTTTCAAAACTCAACCTACACAAAAAAGTTATTTAAAATGTAGAAAAAAATATTATAACGCTATTTTTACGAATGAAAAATAATAATAGTATAAAACTAATTCAAAGCTGAGATCTTGAAGCTACTCATCTCCTTTTTTATTGTTTCTAATGGTGAGACAATGGAAATAAGGCAAAATATTGTTAAGCTGAGAAACAAAAAAGTCTCTTTTTTGAATAATTTCATTCCGTTGGATTATTTATAAATAAATTACTTGAATATCTAATTCAGATATTTTTAATTTGAAAAAAATAGTTCTTTCTTGGATAAAAATATTGTTTGATCAACAAGCGGTAAAGGACTTTTTAAGTTTTAACTTCTTATGTTGACCTGGTTATTTTGCATAAAGCTATAGAAACATACAGCTACTGTAATTTTTGTATTGCTCTCAAATAGTCAGAGTTAAACATCTTGTTAGCAAAACTTTCTTTAACTTCTAGCAGTAGCTCCTCAGCTATGAAGAAAGAAACTGTTCTCTGGTCATGGTACCAAGGATGTTGTTTCATCACATTAATGCATGCTTGGTCTTTTATAATTTTTCATATCTCTGATTGGTTGTAAATCTCAGTAGCCATACATGCAAAAGGAGCTTTTAAAAACCTAAGAGTATAAAAAACACCAACTAACTCAGCAAAAACATTAAAAGATAACATTTCGTTTGCAGGAAAATGATTTAAATCAAGCTATAGACTAAGAAGGCAAAGTACAAGATTGTATATTTAGCAAGATATCTTGCTTGATGGAAGGCACCAGGTCTTTTAAAATCAAATCTTGTGAAATATCTGCCTGAGTATACAACTGTTAATTGGCATGGTACTTATTACCTTTTCCAGTTAGTGAGAAATTATTTCTGTGCTGATATAAAATGTGTTTTATTAACTTTATATATTTCTTTTCCTAATAAAAAGTCTTGTCAGTCTTAACATATTAAAATTTAAAATATTTTTATCTCAGCTTTGTTTTAAAAAAACATTCCTTGGTTACTTTTCCAGTCAAACTTGTTCATATTCTTATAATTTATTCCTTTAGCAAACCTTTATGTTTTAAATGTATTTACTGTAGGTCCATGTGTTGCCTGTTTCTTTTTCTATTTCTTTGGCTTGGAGCTCTACAACATGCCGTTTACATGTTAGCCAAGTTATTGGTTTGTCTCTCAATCTCTCAATAATTGACACTGCTCCATTAATCCATTCAGTATTACTTGCAGTTGTATCAAAAGATACATTATCAATTGCTTCAAAAAGATTTCATTCATTCAAAACCTTTTTTGTTGCAGCAGCCTGGGTTATTCCACACTCATCAGAAATTCTGATTACTCCAATAAGCTTGGGCTCATTGAGATCTAGTGAGCTTAAAATTACTGCCAACTTTTCCACATTTTGCCATGGTTAACATTTGTAATTTTTTGTGCATCTATATAAAGAGTCAGAGATAAGTCTTTAGCTTTTGAGATAAAAGATTCCTTTATTTTTCATTCTTTCATTCGTTAAGACTATTTTGTTATACTATCTTGAAGTTGTTTGTGATAGTTAAAACTTATTCAGATATCCATTGGCTGCATTTAGGGTACTTGCAATTATAGCTACCTGACCTGTTGAAAAAATTTGGTATCTTTTTACAACATTTGATGTTGATTTAATTATATCTTTAGACAAAGAAACTGTTACATAATTATCATTTTTTGCCTTTTTGAATTGTCTTTATCTAACTCATCTGAGTCTACAATTTTAGAATCAGTATATATTTTTAGAATCAGAATATGTTGACTTACCCGTAAGTTGCTACATGTACGTTTGTATTCTGTCTAAATCTTTGGCGCGGTGTTCATTCAACTGTAAGTTGCTATCTATATGTTTGTGTTCTGTCTAAACCTCTGGTGCTATGTTGACTCATCTTTAATTTGCTATCTGTATGTTTGTGTTCTGTCTGTTTATGTTAATATGTGTGTTTGTGTTCTGTCTGAACTTCTGACATGGTGTTTACTCACTTGTAAGTTACTTCATGTATGTATGTGTTCTGTTTAAATGTTCTGTTTAATTGTTTAAATATGTTTTGATGCAGTGTGAGTTCATTAACTAATTAGACATTCCAACTATTAAACCTACGCTCACCCTTATCTCTAGTATTTTGTTGGGTATAACATTTTTCCTAATGCATTTCCGAAATATCATGCCTGATTTTTTATGGTGCTGTTTGCAGGAAGTAGCTCCTTTTAATTACTCCAGGTTAAGTCAACCTGGACATGAAACCCAGTACCACCTGCCCCATGCCCTGCTGTCTTATAGAGTACTTTTTCAGGCAAAGGCTAGGAGAAACAAACTCCGACTTTAAAATCCTCTGTCTTGGGGCTCTTAGTTAAGTGAAGGCTAGAGATAAAAATACTCATCTTGGGCTGATGTTAACTGCATCTAGCTACTGTCTCATAGGAGGCCTCCTAAGCAAAGACTTTAGGGGTCAGCAGAACAATACAGTTGATCAGCCTTGAACCCCTTCTTCATCTATTAGGCTGGCAAAGATGTAAACCTGTGTTTCAATGTTTCCTGACTAGGATGATAAATGCTGGATCTTCTTGACACTTCTCATAGGTTTTTGCTTAGGCCTCCTTGATAATGGCTATGCAACTCTTCCTGTTATATCCTAATAAGGGTACAACTCTAAAACTTAATTTAATGGTTCCAAGGCTGGCTGGTAGTGAGGTTTCTTGAACTCTGTGAATATTCTCAGAGAGGCTGATTCCATTAACAGCTGCAAAATATCAACAGTATTAACAGTGCCATGTTGCGCATAAATGGTGTCCCTGTTAATACTTTTGGTGCACATTGTGGAGGCCACATAGTGAGCCCTATGTTACGGCTTTAGGCTAATTAACAGGACTGAAAAAATTGCATAGCTCATTGCTTGGGAGGCCGTGCTCTATCTATGATTGATTCAAATTCTCTTTAAACTTAAATTACGCCAAAAGTAAACTAAAATATTAAACATAAAAAACCATCCCAAAAACCTATCTGTTTTAATATATCTTTAAATAATATTCGTGGTCTGCGAAGCAACCTTCCTTCAGTTGAATCTTACTTCTTGCAAAATTCACCAGACTTGTGTGGTCTTAATGATACTTATTTAAATTCTGCTATTCCTTTTTCTGATCTCAGTGTTGATAGGTACTATCCTTTGATTTGTAAAGACTCCAATAGTCACATGCATGGCTTAGAGGTATACATATGCATCAAATTACCTACTTGTTGTAAATCAGGTTCCAATCCTTTGACCATTCTTTTATGTGCTTCTGCTTAGCACATCTTCACTCTATCACCGTTTTCTTTGTTCTTTATTGGTCTCCTTCTTCCCAAGACTGCACTCTTTTAGATGTAATTTCTGATTAAATTGATCATGCTCTCTCTTTACCCCTCTGTCAATATTATTGTTATTGGTGACTTAAATGCTTATCACACTGAATGGCATGGCTCTAACTTCACTGACCTTGCTGAGACTAAAGCCTATAACTTCTGCATTTCTCAATCTCTTACTCAAATATTTAATTTTGTGACTTATTTTTCTGACAACCCTTATCATTTACCTTCACTCCTTGATTTATGTTTTGTCTCTGATCATTGTGTTCAGTTTCTCCTTTTTCTCTCTTTTTTCAGTTGAGAGGGAAAAGACATCAGTCATTAGGCTGATGTCTTTTCCCTCTCAACTGAAAAATGCACCTCCTACATAACCTCTTAGATTCAAGCAGGAATAGAAGCTTATATTCCTTTTTGACGAAATCAAACCTCATTCTACTCCGTGGTTTTCATCCTCTTGTGCTGCTGCTATATCTAATCATAATCATTTTTTTCATATATTTCAAAAGAACAACTCTCTTGAGAACAAACGGCTATTTATTATTGCAAGAAATGGATTTAAAAAGCTCTCTTCTCAGTTCAATAAAATCGTATCTTATCTTAGAACTTAGACTTTTTGAAAATTTTTAAATGCTTTGTTAGCAAGGTAGGTCTAACATTTTATCTCTCATTCATGGGACTGATGTTATTACCTCTCCCAAGGTTTAGGCAGATTATTTGCAAAGAACTCGACTCTCGTATTTTGTGGCCATTTTCTTCCTTCCTTTCCATTTAAATAGGTTAACCCATTGTTAGACATTCAAATCACTCCAGCTTCTGTTGCTAAATTCTTATCTTGATTAAACTCTACTACAACTTGTGGTTCAGACAACATTCCTGTCACAGTCTTACAAAATTTTTCTCAAGAACTCTCCTCAATTCTCCATAAACTATTTAATAAGTGCATGACTGAGTCTTGTTTTCCTGCCTGCTGGAAAATGGCATCTGTTGTTCCAATTTTCGAAAACTCCAGTGAACATTCTGACCCCTCCAATTATTGTCCAATCAGTCTTTTTGTTATTAGTAATGTGTTTGAGTTTTTAGTTAACAAATTTCTCACATCTCATCTTGAGTCAAATAACTTGCTGCCAGACAATACAGTTTTCAATCCTCTGGTTCTACGGCTGACTTGCTAACTGCTATGACTTAAAGATTTTATTGTGCATTAGGCATAAGCGCAGACGCTAGGGGCTATTGCCCTTGGCATATCTAAGGCTTTTGATAAAGTTTGGCATGCTAGTCTTTTCCATAAGCTTGTTTCATATGGTGTATCTGGGAAAGTTTTTGAGATAATCTTATTGTTTCTTTCTTACTGTTTTATTAAACTCATCTTTAAAGGCCAACACTCTTCTTTATTTTCAGTAACTTCTGGGTTACCTCAAGGTTCTATCCTTGGTCCTATTTTGTTTCTTATCTACATTAATGATTTTCCTGACAACTGTACATCTAAAGTAGCTCTTTTTTCTGATGACTTGACTTTAATATCTTTAAAACTTGACGCATTAGAAAAAAAAAGGATTGCATATTTGAAATCATAATGAGC